CACCCACACGCGCTCTCTTACCATCACATCGTACGCGTGCGGAGAAATCAGGAAAAAAAAAGGCTCAAGGTCATAATACAGTGCCTATTCATGAAACGCGGGGACGAAAGGACGCATGTTTTCACTCTTTTGACGTCTCGTTCCCTGTGTAGCGTTCAGCGCACAGGGAGCGAGTTGGAAAGGAGAGAAAAAGCACTCAAAAGCGTGCGGCAAATCGTGGTGTTTCACTTGTACTTGACGGACTGTAAAAATATTCTTGGTAGTCGCTTCGTGAGACAATTAGGCTGCCTAAATGAATCCATAGAGCTCTATCGCATACAGCTCTTATATTAACCTCTTCCATCCTTTTTATACATGTTTTATGGGTTCGTTTGATCTGGTAAGGTCCTTAGGCGAAGGGTGTGTTTTTCGGGCTGTCGAAGTCACGCAGAGAAAAGCGCGTAGTGCAGATCCGATCTATCAGATGCCTCAACGATTCCGATCCACTGAGTTTCTGAGGCCTAATTTCTCTTCATACTTACTTCTACTTATTATATAACTCCACTCTTAATAGGTTACATTATACCTAATGTCTCCTCTATCATATAACCTTCAGCGTAACTACTTCCATTGGTTTTATATATGTAGTATTTATATTTATCAGAGTTTTGTGTCAACGCACACCGGCGCTTGACAACGTGCACGGTATAGTAGATAACGAGTAGTGTTGTTTTGTACTCGTACCACTAATAACTCCTATGCGGGTAGAACGGTGCGTGTTAAAGTGGAAAGGAAATAAATTGAGGAGGTTTGACACCGTACATACCAGCTAGTGCTTCCAGTGCTTCGGACTGTAGGAATATTTTGTCTGCCACGTCTGTATTCGAACATTTTTAAGAGCTGAGATGGCATGTAAACCAAGCTAGAAACGTGTCCCGATTACGTTCATTTTCTGGGCCTTGATAATGTTTCACAGCGAAAGCTGTTAGGAGATCGCAACAAGAGTCACGTGCGCTGTAGTTGTCCGCCGCCGCTGTTGGTGTCCGTAATCATTATCGCACGAAATCAGAATAAAAATTTAGTCAATAAAAACACCAAGCACCTAGTGGGATTAGAACCCGGGTCACCTGTGTGTCAGCCCAGTATGCCACTGCAGGGTTCCGCTGATGCTTGAAACTACGTTGCAAACTTCTTTTAGGCAGGTTTGATGTCGGGAAAGGAATCAAGTTAGTATGAGTAATAAAGCGTTTTATAACAGCAAAGGAACAACCGGATCTCACACATTGCGAATAGCGTAACCAGTGGGTCGTCCAATGCTTCAACCTTTTAAAAATGCTTGTTTCGGTTCACCAATTAGCAGTGGCACGCATACCCACTTCCGGCATAATTCTTTATTGTTGTCAACCACTACAGAAAAATTTGCACCGTATTCTTTGCAATGGTGCAGCGGATACCAGGCTTTTCCGAAGAATGGCAAAGGATAGCATAGTGATTTCCGGCCTACTAAACAAAAATTATGTACCATGCTTCAAGCAATCACCCAAGAGTGTTTAGAAAAGGCTCAGAAAGGCCGCTTTTACAGCTATCGCTGTGAATGTGCAGCGCGTTCTGCGCAAAACCCGGGATTTTTAATATTGAGCCGAAGACAGGGAATTGAGAATTTGTCCAAGTGCTGCGGGGCTGGGCAGAAGCTGCAACGTACAGGTAAAATACTTCGTTTCAATTTTGGATGCTTTTAAATTGTTATTGCAATATTAATCATGCACTGTGTAATTATGTCATGCACCGTAATCATGCACCGTATATGTCATGCACTGTATATGTATATGTATCTACATTGTGAAAACTTAAGAAAGAAAAAATTCAGAGAAAAGACTCCGGGGAATGGAATCGAGAGTGGTACCTACGCGTCGTGAATGAGAGGCGTTACCACTGAGCCGCCGAGAGGTGCCTCCTTCAACGCTCTAACGGCAAGCTATTTATATCTACCACTTACTGTTGCTAGTGGGCGTCTCGGGCGGGGGGTGGGCTATTGTGTTTTCAGCATTATCAGCAAGATGGCGCAATGAGCGCGTGGCGGCTCTAATCTCTCACGACGCGTACTTTGGCCCGTGAAGAGGAAGGGAGTGGATGATCTCTCGCGCACTCTTATCTCCAGGTTGGGAGGATCATACACCTTGGCTGGCGTTCCGCTGGCACTGGAACAATTTTGTTGCAGTCACGGGGCACACAAATGTTACTTCAATCGTTGCACATCCTTCATTTGCAAAAAGGGCGCGCTTTTCAGCACAGCGAAGTAACAACTGCGACACTTATTCACGTTCATCTGTACCTTGAGTACGCCTCGTGTGTCATTTGTGCGTGAGAAACGCGGAGAACATTTCCATCTGCTTGTCATTATGTTCGTGACTTTCCAATTTGTTGTTATCGCGTTCATTGCTTCGCCCTTGCGGCAAAGCTGCAACTTTTTCAAAATCCAATATTTGCCGCAAACATAAGTGTATTTTATTTAAAAAATGACCTGCCAACTAGCCCAAAAACAACTTCTTTTGCAGTGTAATATCATTTTCATAAATAAAATTATCAACCAAGAAGCCAAGCGCACATTAGTCCAACTTTACAAATTGAGGCTTCACTTGTTTCTCGTGAACAGGGCATGCGGCAAAAAATAAAATAAAAAACATTTCCAAACATGCAAGTACCTATCACATTTATTATTGTATGAGGGGCGCAACACTTTCGGAAAAAAAGTCCTTGTGGTTTCCCCTGAAAACAGCCACATCTCATGCGATTTGTGGTACTCGGAAGCAAACGCGCGCATGTTTTACTACGAGGAGCAATTATTGCTGTTGCGAAAGAGTTGTCATGACTGTTCGCAAAATTGATGTTAAAATTTGGCTGCTAGAAAAGACGTAAACCTGGACTCGGGCAATTTATTTTTTACTAAGTGAAGGTTATGGCTAGAGTTAATGTTTCCGAGACGCTTCTGTTGCGTGTCTGATAGTAAATATGCTGAGGAAGTTTGAAGATAATTTCAAATAAGCAATGAGCGCGCGCACGCAAGAATGTCGCACACAAAGCGGCCACTAAGAATGTAGTTTCACTCAAGTGCTGGACAAATTTCTCACACAAAGGGTGCACATCATATGGCGAAAATGTGAAAAAGTTTTTTCTGACATTTTATACAGTCGCGTGACTACTGCACCAACAGATGTTCCTGTTAGCTTGAAAAGTGTAGGCCAAAGACGCGGTCTGTTGAGTTCTAAAAAACCATCGAGTGCAGTCACTGAAATAGCCTTTTATGAAGAGCACAGGATAAAAAGATTACACTGAGTCGGTACATCCGTCCAAGAAGTCGCTGATAGTTAGTAGGTAGAAGGTAAATAATGCTAGTATTTTGGGAGGGCTAGTTCGTTTTGTGTGTGAGTGTGTGTGTGCAGAGTGGGGGAATAGCAAACCTTATATGTTGCACAAACAATAAAGATTAGTATTTTAGCAGAAACTTGTAACCATTTTCTGCTCATTTTCTCTCTATTGGGAAACAAAAGTTTGTGGAATTTGTTTCTGAAATCTGCTTCTTATAACTGAGCAGCTCCTTTGTGTAGCAATCGATTTTCCAATTTTACAAAGCCTACTTAAACTATATATATATATAGTATATAGTTATACTTTATATATACTTTGTATATATACTATTTATACAAAGATTATTTCTAAACTGTGCAAAGCCGAAATAAAAAGTGTTCACTTAGACCCGTATTCAAAATTAGCCCTTGAGCTACAATCATTTTTGAGTGAACAATTTGGCCAGTTCTGAGGCCTGACACATCAAGGGAGGGCGAATAAGGAGAGAGAGAAAGAACCTGCGAAAGAAAGTTCTGGGAATACAGCCCTTGAATTTTCTGAAGCATTCTTACCGTTTACATGATTACAAGACAAGTCTGCCTGTCGTTTCTGTAGGCAAATTTGCACCCCAGAAAACCTCATACCACTACAAAGTCCGTTGTAAACTCACAGTTTGTTCATCACAGAAAAACTGACAATAATAAACCTTTCTCTTTCCCCCAAAACTTATGCTGCTCTAGTTAACAACTGAACATACCGTAGTCTATAGATCGTATACTCTGTATGCTACCTTTAGGTAGCACAGTTGCGTGTAGGCGAGCCATGTTGTTTCGCTTGCCGTCACCGCAATGTGGCTAAGCCGAACTACAATTTAGCAGGCGTCGTCTTTTCGTCAACGCTCATGCCAGGCGAATAACTTGGCTGACGAGATAAAAAAATGAGCCATTGGTAAACAGACGTGCAACTATGCTATATTCATGCAGTACCTCTAGGAAATACTGAGAAGGCGAGCTCTGTGTTGTTAGAAAAACATAAAAAATTCAAGAAACAATGAGTGATTGCAAACAAATCATATATAGTAAGCCTTACAAGTTTGTTAAAAAAACCTGGACGCAAAACGTAGACACTGCGTGAAAGCATGCGTTTGAAATGATATAACTGAAACAGTCCTAAATGCTATTATAAAACACTGAAGCTCTCGGGATTTGCACCACGGCATCAGCATTTCGCACAAATTCTCTTGAGCATCGTTTTAATTATATACTGATATGTGACAAACTTTTATGACGTCGTTAACCCATATAGACCAGTGTGCAACGTGTTGAAGTCTATTGTAACATCAGCTCCAGAATGCAAACATTAATGACAGAGCGTTGGTCGTGGGATCACCATCACCAATGAATGGAATTTCCTCTACGCCACCTTTACATGATTGGGGAGAACCTTGCCAAGTCTGTGCGCACGCTCATGGAAATCACGTGTGGTTCTGTGGTAAATTATGAATAAAAAATAATGTGACAGCATAATACATACTATGCAGGCTGTAGGTGCTGTAGTCCCCGAAGAAGGAAACAGGACTGTATTTTAGGTGCGTAAGCGTTACTGATGTGCCGCGCAAAATCGTGGGGAACACGTCCGGAAATTTAAGTTTTGTGGTATCAGTTTTCACGATTCACCTGTTATGCGAGCGATGACAGTGCCCATTTTTTTCTTCAGGTTTCTCCCGAAGAAACCGGCCACCTGCGCTCCGAAGCTGTATCCGATGGCGTGTATGAGCGATGTGCTAAGGGGAAACTCCTCGACGAGCCGTTGGACGACCAGCGCCAGTGTGCGCCCAACGGCCGCCGTGTTGGCCGCTGCATTTGCATACGTCGTTGCTGCCAATCCACTCCAGTCGACTACGACAACATTGCCATCCACCTGCGTAGAAGTAGAAAGCGAAATGGGCCGCTCTCTTTTTCTGACCACACATTGTTGAAATATTCCTTAACAGCTATTCACATTCGTATTATAGCTGAATGTTTCTTCGGCTAACATGTCAGCCAGTGTGGTGGAACTGTGGTTACGGTGTTTAGTGGCTTTTTGTTTCGGAGGGCGCGAATTCGATCCTGCAGCCACGGTGGTCGCATTTTGGCTGGAGGCGGGAATGCTAGACTCTCGCGTACTTGAGTTCAGGTACATGTTCAAAAAACCCCTGATGGGCTAAATTTCCAAAACTCTGCTCCTGCCAGACCTGCTGATGGCAGCAATTTTCACACAAACGCGTTTAAAGAACGGTATAGAGCGCGATTGCCAAATGATCGTGTGCGCAGTAAAACGCATAACGGGCCTGTCGCTCAACTTACGAAGTCGACTCAGCGTAGGGTGAAAGTGCACCCGCTTGGTTTCACCATTGTTTTGCAGCCATGCTGACTGCGTCTCGTATAAAAACGCTCATTGCAAACGTGGTATCTATGCAGTTTCTTGCATTGTCGCGCGAAACTAGATTAGCGCGTGCCTAAGCGAGGCGCATAGGTGACGCTGAGCTAAATTGGCCTCCGATCAGAGTTTTGCGAGAACAAAAGACCGGCACTTATCAGTAATGTGCTTTATTAGTGCGTACCCCATGTGCGATATAGGAACACGTTCTTTTGCCCAACTGCCACGATCCTTACGCCTTATTCACCCCTGCGAATAGTGCTGCTCGCGTGACCATTTGCGAATGTTGTCCAAAAAAAAAAAAGCGACTCGACGTGATCGACGTTCATGCTTGCGTGTGACATATGCCCATCGCCACACTGAATTCAGGTCCACCAACTAATGCCTCGCATTATAATTGCATCATAAAATAAACTGATGTCCTGTTCCTGCACGAACGACCGAGAGAAAGAAGTCGCATGGCAACCAACTTGGTCGCGCGACTGGTCCTAGCGGCACGGTGTTAATGAGACCCAGGTGTGACGGTGGTCTGTTTATGACTGTCCATTTCATGTTGTTATTTACACACAAGTGCACACTCAACGTTCAAAGGGGTCAAATCACTAGTTCGTCAATTCGTCAATCAAACGGCTAGTTCGTCAATCAAATGGCTCTTACGTGTGTCGTACTATTGGCCCGCATAAGTAGCTGTGAGCAATCGATAAATATGAAAAAGTGGACCGCCCAACGCGAAGTTCTATATGCTCTATGGGACGCAACGATGTCTAGGATGCGTTGTGGTGCCGTTGGAATTTGCACCTAAAACAAGCTGCTAACGTCCCCTCAAGAAATAGGAGTTGTACGCCTAATGGAAACACATGTGCAACAGCCCAAACCTTCAAGTATCATGAGCAGCGGCGGCTTTTTTGTCAGCTTCAAATGCTAAAACTAATTTGAAAAAAAATTCATGGACATGTGCTTTAAGGAAATGCTTGTCCTAAACATTTTTGAAGCTTAATTAATTCATATATGGGAAATATACACAGAACAAAGTGCAGTTCTTTGGTGATAGTTAAAAATTTGGATGGTGTACGCCTGCGTGAAATTTTGGTTTAAAAAGATGCGTCGACTCAAGCCATTTCTATGAGAAACCTTCTACCCGCCACAGGGCTCAAGTGACTAGGTTGCTTGACGGCTGATCGAACCGTTTAGGGATCGAATCTCGGCTGCGGCAGGCGCATTCTCGATGGAGGTGATAATGCTAGCGGCTCTTGTATCTACGTTTGGTTTTTCCCAGGAATTTTTGATAGACAGGTAATAATGACGTGGCAGATATATATACCCAAACTATTGAATGCACAGAGCTCGTTAGCCCCAAATGACTGTAATAATCGTAGACGCGTTATTGCGATAGTGGAAGCTCTACATGCGAATAAGCGTCTAACACCACTATGAAACAGACAAAAGGTCAGCACACGCAACAACTAGCCTGCGGCAACATGTTGTAAAACGTTGTTCTTTGTACTTCGTGCTGTCAGAAGTATACCAAAAATATCAGGTGATCTAGCTGAAAAAGAGAAAAAAAGAAAACATTAAATTATGTCGTATTGAGGTTATCAATGTAGGAATTTCGCCATTTTATAATACTAGAATAATGAAGTGAAGCATGCATCATCATGAACACTAGCCAGACTACATCCACTTCAGGGCAGAGACATCTACCATGACCCTCCAATCTAACCGGTCTCATGCTTTCTGCGGCCATGCTATGCCTGCGTACGTTTTCCTCTCATCGGCCCACCTAACATTCTGTCTCCCCTTCATACGTATGCCTTCTCTAGGAATCCGGTGAGTTCGCCTGATGACCAGCGGTCATTCGGCCTACGTTCTACGTGCCTGGTCCATGTCCATTTTTTCAGTTCAACTATGAGGAGCATGCATTAATATATTTTACGTAAAGTAAGGTACTTTCAAAAGCTATGCAGGTTCTTCTTTCTTTTCAAACGTGCAAGAAGGACTCGCACGAAGAGCATTCGCCAGGTGACACCGATATAATTGCGAGAAACGAATCTGAATTATTCTGCAAAGCTGCGTTAACATAAAAAGGAAATATATCGACCGCGTAATGCGATCTTCTTAATCATTTCCACTGAATGGTTCAGTATGGCTTACAACAGAAGAAACGAGATTGCCGATCAGAAGGCTAAAGAAAAGTAATCGAACATACAGATGCAAAAGTTAGGTAGGAGAAAATGGCGTGATTTCTGCAATTCCTTGACCCCATTTACTCCACTTCCGAAAATCTGGCAGACAATCATTGCTTTAAGTCATCCACTACTCCAGCGAAGCCCATTCACAGCATTGGTCATATCGCCCATTTAGAGCATTGGTCATATCTCTTGGATTATTTGAACGTGATGTTGCTAATAAGTTTTACACTATTCTGACTGGAACTGGGCAATAGGTTCGCGACACTACTGCACTGCCTAACTCTGTAGAGAAGCAAATTGAAGATGCATACGTTTTATCACATGTTCAGCCGGATAAGACGTATTTTCTACTAGAGTTGCGTACTGTTCTATCACTTAACCACGTTGGAATGGCAACAGGTCAATACAACGTGTAGTACAGTGTTCTGAAAAATCTAGGCCCCAACGGCATGCCAGTTCTTCTACAGATACATAAACACAAGTGGACGAAGGCGTAAGTTCCAACGTGTTTGAAGGTCACGGAAATAGTCCAGCTGCTAAAGCCCGGTAAATCACCGCTTTCGCTTCACTCATTTTGACCGGTCAGCCTTACTAGCTGCGTATCTAAAGTCATGAAAAAAATAGTTGACAGAAGGTTACAGTGGTGGATTCAAGCTAACGACTCTCTTCTAGAACAGATAACTCGCTTCAGACGACGGTAATGCCTCATGAACTGCGTCTTTGACCTCATTACATTTGTAAAACATGATACGAGCTGTGGAAACATTGCTGTTGTGGCATTCATTGATATAAGAAAGGCGTTCGACTCTGTCAGTCACCTATCTGTACTGTACAGCCTTTCCTCACTAGGGATTGATGGTCGCATCCTTCAATGGATCACCAACTTTCTCGTAACAGGCAAATATACATTTCTACCAATAACGGAAAACGCGATCGCTTCAACGTGAGCAGAGGTGTACCCTAAGGAAGCACTCTAAGTCAGCTTCTTTTCAATGCTGCAATGGCAGGACTTGTAGAAGTGCTGCCCGAAGCCTTGAACATGTAGATGTATGCAGATGACATATGTCATCGGCTTCAGCAAGGAATAAACGCATTAAGTGATTACCTCAAAGAGTGAGGCATGCAAATTTCTCATGCCAAATCGGTAGTTCTTCCGTTTACGAGAAAGGCAGCGAAAAACGTGAATTTTTTTGTGGATGGCCAAAGAATCAAAATCGCTTGAAATCATCGCTTTTTTTGTGTTACCTTATAGACAGCCAACTCATATTGTGTCAGCATATTGACAATCTAGAAACCCAAGTTAACTGCACCATAAATGTTCTATGTGGCATAGCGGGAACGAAATAAAGTGGTACATCAGCGTCTCTACTCCACGCTCATTGTGCACTTATACGACAGAAGATTGCTTACTACGCGTGCCAATTCTCCACAACATCTCTCAGACGCCTGTACCCCAACTTCAGCTGTTACAAGCACGAAGCTTACGCATATATCTGGGGGTTCCACAGGCAAATCAAGTTCTCTGACACTGGCAGAGGGAAAAGAACCCTACTTTACAGTAATTCGAAATATCAAGACCTGTCGGCATCTCTTTCGCCTGGTCCCACAACACCCTTCACATCCGTTAATATCAAACATCTTGAACCGTGCCGGAGCGCAAATACACAATGTGTACCAAAAGTACGTTTCTCGGCTTCCTGTGTGGACACATTGGCCCCTGGACCTAAACTACCCGCCACGGCTGCTTGAGCTACCAACTATTGAAACGTCAATAGCAGGAATTCGCAGCAAACATGAAGTTCCAATTGTTGCCGCACAGCAGCTGGCATCATATCATCTGTTTGACAGGTACCAAGGCTACACTCACGTGTACACTCATGGCTCCACTGCTAAACAGACAGTGGCATTCGCATCTATAATTCCGGAATCATGCGAAAAAAATATGCATGTCGGTTGGGCCATATCTCCTCTTCAACAACGTTGGAGCTCATAGTGATTTTGCTAGCCATAATCTTTATTAAATTGTCAGCAACACCGCAAAATTGGCTCTTAATTACAGACTCTCTGGTGTCACTCGCAAGTGTGGAAAATGCTATTTAGAGACACATTGATGCGCGTATAGTATACGCTATATTAAAGGAGGCTTCAGAAGCTACGAAGGGGAGTCATCGAGTGGCATAATATTGTTGTTTGCCAATCACTGCGGAATCAGGGGATTGAAATGGCAGGTAAGTTGGCGAATACGGCCCATAATTCAACGCAAACACGCCTCATTCCTGTTGCTCAGTACAATGTAAATATAATTTTAGGAACAACAAAATGTGAACTATACTTGTCTACCTGGTTCACTGACAAAACAAAGGAATTGATCCTATATGTTGTTGATCCTAATCTTGAATTCCGATTGGACCATCATCTCCCCAGTCATATCGACACTCTCATACATCGCCTAAGACTCGGAAGTGCTTACACAAAGCACTTCCGACTTCGTTCTCAGCGTGCGACATCATCAACTTGTTCATGCGGCCACGACGACGAGGATATCTGTCACCTCTTGCTCAACTTTCCGAAACACAATACACACTGAAGGCGACTCGAACAGGAACTTCATACACTAAATTCCGAGCAACCGCTTGCGTTGGATAAAATACTAGGCCCATGGCCATCTAAAATGAATGGCAAAGCAATGAAGGTGCTGCAACACTTTTTTTGTGACCAGTACTGAGTGGACTATAGTTAAAAGTGAGCGTGGCGGCTTCGTGATTGTTTTGCCTATATGAGAACTTTTGCACTCACCTATGTAGGATTGTGTATAAGTGTATATAGTATTTTATTTTTTTTTCATTTGTCACAATCAAGCAGAAAGGAGTAGCCATCGCCAAGTAACGGTGACAACTCTTTTGTTTATTTTATATTTCAATAGAAATGGTGCAGAAGAAACTTTGCTAAAAAAACATGTGTGCTTTCACAGACTCGCATTCGTTGAGAAACTCAAGTAGAATTATTTTGCTCAATCAATTCAAAAATCTCAGACCGGATTTTCCTTGTGTATTTTCCAGTAAGGCCTGTGTTCGCAGACCACCGAGATTACCTTTTTTTTTACCACGATTAATTAACTCCTTTTCCTTGAACAGTTATCGCACAAAACGGGTTTAAAAACATGAATTGCAAAAGACCATCCGCAGTGACAGGTTATAGCTAGCTGACATTGCTTAAACGCATCCAGCGTACGCACGTGGAGAAGGGGAGGGGGGCTGGGAAAAAAGCAGAGAACTCTAAAGAAAAAATCTCTTCTGTGTTTTTTGTGAAGATAAAGATAAAAAGACAGATGTTTCAAGGTCGCCCTATGACATCAAGCCCCTTGTAACAAATTATGTAAATGGTTGGTTAACGTCACATTTGGTTTTTTTTAACGTTGATGCAAAACCTCCTTTAATGCAGTTCATGGTATTTTCCCTATGTTAAGTCATGCGTCGCATCACCTACCGTAACCTTGACAACGCGTCATTTGCGGCGGATTACAGGTCAATTTCTTTTTCCAGGCAAAAACAAAAAAGCTTAACAGAAATAAAATGGTAGTGATATCAGTTCTAGCGGTTTTTTGTGCATGGTTATTCAGAAAAAGTGAATTGTTAGGAAAGAATGTAAGATACCTTACTTTGTCTCTGAAAAAAGACTCAGCTAGGCTGACAATCTGAATTTTTCATTTCTACCATATAATTATGAATATGAACCATCGGAGTATATTACTCTTGTATTGCTACGCTCCCCCTCCGTTACTTTGCGTGTTATCTAGAACGCGCTTTGATAGTTTCTTTTGTATGCATTGTGGTGGCACGAAAGACCTGTTTATTCCCTGTATACTTAAAAGTATTTCTGACTGTAGAACACTCTCAGTAAAGAAATAGTTTGGCTTGACGTTTTTAAAATTTAATGTAAAATGCACCAGTTAAATATTCCTCCCCCTTGGTCCTTATTGCCTGCAAGTCTTTCTAGCCTAGTCTTCTTATGGCGTGTTACTCGGCAGGCTCGTTCAGTAACAGCCTGTGCGTAAGTTTTGTTAGGATGCAAAAAACTTCTGACAAGCAGTTTTCGCTTTGTATTTCAGTAAAGAAGAGTTCTCCCTAATTGTGATATATTGCAATGCAGTTTTATGCATTGCCTTTGTCTGCTCGTAGGGGTTTAAACGCAAATCCTTGCATAGAATCTTGTGATTTCATGTTCCAGACGAAGAATTCTGTTCATCACGTCTGGGCTGTGCGAAAAAAAGTTTGCATGGGGAATTCCACGGAAAGATAAAAATCACGCCTCAAGTGACATGATTTATTGTATATACAGATTCGTATACCTCACTGTGCGCATGATTATATTAGGTAGAATGATTTATTTAACTATTTATTCATCATAGTACAGAAAGACGTCCCCAAGTTTTAAATAGGTCTGAGAGACCTCCTATCAATACTTTCACAATATCAATAAATTGAATACAATGTCTCCATGGCAGTTGAGTAGTAAAAACAAAGTAGTCCAACAACTTAGTCACATGCATTGCGTGCAATCGATTATTAGGACGGCCAGGTATACATAAAAGAAGTTAGGCATCCGAGTGTTAATCGGGCGCATATTGTGGCGAGCAGGTGACCGAAAAATGCATTCAATTGACGCATGACTACTATTTGACGCCCCTAAGAAACATGAAGGAACGGTTTACTTTCGACACTCTCATTACAGATGCAAGAGTCTAAGAGCTTTCCCATTTTGAAGATTACTTGATTACGCCATCTTCGAGTACTGTTGTGCCTTCTGAAATGCTTCACTTTTTTAAACTGGTGTATGATACCTCTGATTGAATAAATACTCCTACATGTTTATTTCATCTGTGACATTTATGTGCCCCACATATGTTAGTTTAAAACTTGTTTTAATGCTCTGTATTCAAACATTATGCTAACAATGTGTTCCACTATCTACATAATTTGTGTGAAAAAACAATATTGTGAATGTTTTCTTAGTTTTTCTTGTGTGCAAATGCGAATTCTTTCACTTTTACGTGTGTTTTGCACCTGTGTTTTTGATTTCTGGGGTGTAATTGAATGGTTTTGTTCTCATCACTGTGCCAAGTTGGCGCCAAAAACCTCATAAAGCTACGCTTGTTGTAGATTCTTGCTCATATACAACGTTTTCTCCCGCCCGTTTTTTTTTCTAGAAAAAACAGATAAGGAGTAATCAAGAATTTAAAGAGGTGTCTAAATTAAGGACTATGAGCTGATTCTGATCACTTGAAGTTCTTTTGCGGGTACTGGTATACATGCGTATACCGTCATATTTCACCGTCAACGAAAATGCAGTCGCTGCTATGTGGAATCTAATCTAATCTAATCTAATCTAAAAGTAAGCGTATTTCTTTGTGTACAAACTATGTGGTAACTGGTTATGATGACAAAGTTTTAAAGATAATTTGTGAGCTACGCGAATGAAAAAAACAGAGTCGAAGTGTGAACCACGGAAACTTGGGCAAGTTGGTAGGACGTAACTGAAAATTGAGCGACTTTTTATGTTCTTATTTTCTGCTTTCGTAGTTACGCCGTCACGACTTCTAGGTAGCGCTGTTCATCTATTCAGAAAGAAAGGAGTGAGTGCTTTTTCAACACCAAAGTGATTTACGACGTTATTTACCAATATCATTTCACTGACGTATTTCCGTCACGAATATGACGTATAAAATGTAAACGAATAGATGACAAAAATGAGAAGAGGAGGTTCTGTCAGCCGGAATGAAACCCACCATTCCTCGCTTCGTTGCGCGTGGCGCTAAATGACTCGGCCATAAACCGTACGTTCGTCAGCATACTAACGGTGAGCTATTTATATACACCATTTACTGCTGGCGTATATATACAAAGAGCTTCGAAGCACAGGTTTCAGTTTCAGCTTAGCTTCACTTAAACTGAAACACGCACTTCGGAGCTCTTCGAGTGTTTTCCTAATACCCAGTGAGATGACGCGAAGTACACGAAGGGTGCCATGCTCATTGCGATGCGAGCGTGAGAATTTACTTTTGCCTACTGGGCGCCGCCACTCGTGTGCGGGCTTCTATCTCGTGAGGGGCTGTATTGCATGTCTGGTACACTGACGGCAAAGCTTGCGTGAAATTACAGAGCGCACGAAGGTAATCTCGCTGGCTACAGCAGCAGCATTTGCGAAATGATCACGCTGCATAAACACGAAAGGGCACAGCTGAAACCGCTATTACCGTTATTAGTTGGCGCTTGTCCTGTACATACTTGTACGTTCGTTTGATGCGTCGGTCTCTGTGTTTGAGCAAAGCGCTTCAAGTGTTGAGTGGTGAAGATTGTTAATTTGCACTAGTCCTGCCTTTGTTCTTTTTGTGCGTCCTGTGCGCTCAAGCAGACCATTGAAAGGTTCGATCCACCTGTTCTTTGCGTGACATTCCAATATGTTGCTCTCGCATTCACTGATTCACCTTTGTGGTAAAACTGCCTTTTCATCCAACCTTCGAATGCGCAGAAACTTAGCATTTATTACTCATACACAATCTGCTCTGGACTCAGAATTCTGTTTCTATCATATGAGTTTTTATGAGTGATGTGAAATCTACTCACCTCTTTAAGAAGAGCGTCCTTGACAGACTGCACCCAGAAAGCATGTGCGGACTCCAACCAACCATGCACCAGAATGAACAGCGGTTTCGCTCGGCTGAACTCCACCAATTCCTTATAATTTCCTTTTGGCCTCAGCTGGAAAATTGTTGGATAGTACCGTTTATTTCTTGTGTAGAGGTAAAATTGAGGCTTGAGAAAGTTTGGGTCACTTGGCAAATCAGATGGAAGCGTCAGTCGGTCACGCAGAGAGAAGCAGCCAACATCGGCGTAGCAAATTTCACCCTTTGCTGTTCTTTCCTTAGAAGAAAACAAAAATTAAGGAACGATCAATAACAAAGAAACGGCAATCAAATTTAGATTTTCTTCCACGAGGTATATGATACGACAGTTCTGCGAGAACACTCAAAGGCACCTTTTTTTCTTAAGAGCCACAGAAGTACCGCATAAACACGTGGCCGAAATTAGCAAAAAACAGCGAAAGAATGCCCCATTAAGCTCCACAGAACTTTCCGGGAGAACGAAACCGGTTGCGCGGTATGATAAAAGCATCTGATAATACAGATTCACCAGACTTTACTCGGCGTTACTTTTGTTGTGAATCGAACATCAGGATTAAAAGACTGCCGCTTTGGAAAACCAATTCTATCCACCATTTCTGTTCATGTACAGCGTGCGTATACACTTATATCATCCTAAAGCACATGCAGCTAGCGAAAAGCCAGACCCTCTGCTCGGATGCCTGCAGATTGAACTATATGTTCCTTCATATGCAAAACATAGGACGTACAGACAAGATCACTCAATCATTCTATTGAAAAAGCACTTGAGTGCATATTTAGGCGCTACGTGAACGACGTCTCTACTTGTCATATCTGAATTGTAAAATCCCACTTCTCAGTGAGCGCGATGCAGACCTCTTCCAGAGAAAGTATTCAATGAATTTAACAGCCATTCAGTTGAAGAATACCTTGGTCCAGCAAGACGCTGCTATTATTGTCAGAGGTTCAGACATTTGGCGAAAAACTGCCGAGGAATCAGGTGCAGCAAAATATCTGCCGAAGACTATCATCTCAATGACTGCAAATCGATAACACAACCTAAGTGTGCCAATTGCGAGGGGCCCCATGCTACTTCGTTCTATTGATGACAGCAGAACAAGGCGGCTTCTCTTCAATATCAACAGGGCATAATATACGCTCGCACGCAACAGCATGACGCGCCTGAGCACCATGAACACCATGAACCATGCATGGCCTCCTCGACCGCAAGGAGCTAAACGCCAGGACCCCGTAATGACGTACGCGCAAGCTGCAAGGGGACAACGAATGCAAGAGAAAAGTGCAGGTACATCAACAAGCCAGCAACAAGCTCGACAAGAGCCTCAGGAGAAACCTCAAGAGAAAAGTACCCATGTGGTTAACATCCGAGAAAGCACGAGCACATCGCACCCAGTAAGTGTAACTCAACCAGAAAACGCTTCTGTATCTATAGCTCGATCATCTTGTCATACCAATGTTGTTATCGGCTTTAAATACCTTACTAGCCGCGATTCATCAAGCTAACAACCTTCCTGAGGTCAAATCCATCTTGTCGATTCAACAGGTAGTGTTAAAATTAGCCACAACAGTCACTGCGCAGGCAAGACATGAATAATTGTTATCAAAATTCCGTGACCTACCAGTAGAATGCGAATAGTATTCGCCCTAAGTGTGCAGACTTTAGAAACTTTGTGGCTCAGAGCTCCTTTCTAGTGTTATGTATTACACAGGACGGGGTAGACACTACCTTTAGGTTAGCGAACTACGTTGTATATATATGTCCTCTAGATCTACAGGACCAACTACAGCAATGATATGTGTGAGAAAAGATCTGCCACCAGTACAGGTAAATGCTACATCATCGTATATCAAGAATATGTAGCATGTTAGGTTAGATTTCGTCGAGTAAATATAATAATAGTCAGCGTTTATCTATAGCCTTCCACAAATACTTCGCTTTCTACATTCACAGCGCCTTTTCAGACGTACACAAAAGCTGTGATATATTGCGGAGATTTTAATGCTCACAATGTCATGCGGGGAAGTGCCTACTGCGATCGTCGCGGAGAAGACCTACAAAAAGCAATTCAGGATAGTTCATTGTGCTTCTTAAATGACGGTACAGTGACGTTCTTACGGGGTTTCCATTACTAGAGTTGCTTAGACCTGTCGCTCTGCTCACATGATATTGCATCTGGGGCTTCATGGCGAACAGACATTGAAAGAAGGGGTAGGGATCATTTACCAATCCTAATGAATGGATGGATAGATGAACTTTATCGGGTCCTTCGGAACGTGCTATAGCACGTTGCGGGCTGCACCCACGTCGGAAAAGAAAGACCAAGTCTCTCTGCTGCACCGCAAGCCCGGTAGACTTACCATAGCTGTTGTTCAAGTCCGGAGCTTGAAATAGTACCCTTCCACTTGGTGGGCGTGATGACTTCCCGACAGCGCAACGCGGGGCACCGCCAGAGCATATGTTCCAAGGTAGGTATATCGCGACAATAGGAACATGTATTAGTTGGCGGTATTTCGGGATAAATTTTGTTCAATAGCGCGGGATTAGGGTACGCCCCGACCAGAAGAAACCTGAGTGTCAGAGCCTGAGATCTGCTTAGCTTCCTGTGTGGTGGACGGTATTGTCTCCGCGTTAACTAACAATGGTTTGTCAATTCATTATACGAGATGGGAGGGCTGCGGTTCTCCAAGACATCAGCGCCGCAACTCCCGATAGCTACGCGGTTAACTAGTCCTGGCGCAGCTATGTAGAATGACTCATTGAGATTGGGCGGGGCTCCCTTAATGCGTTCTATATGAGCTGGAAATCAAACGAGTGTATCTGACTTGATGTCTTTGTCCCGAAAAATTTGCAAAGCTAGTTCCAATATTGTTTCCTTGGAAAATGCTTGGACTACTGAGCTTGAGTCGCTGTAAATTGTGAAGCTCCTGTTATCCAGCAAGGCCAACGCAATCTCCACTTGCTCTGCTATTTCAGCCACCGTCGTCCGGACCGTTGTCAAGATGGTGATACTACCCTCGTGGTTGATGCTCACTGCCGCATACGCCTTTCCCTCGAGATATTGGGCCGCATCGACGAAGGAGCAGTCCTCGGCATGTCTTGAGCCCTTTGTAGTAGAGCCTTTGTCCTGGCCCGTCTTCTACCCTCGTTATGCTCGGGGTGTACGTTTCGCAGGATGGGGACAACGGTGATTTGTTCTGGTTGTTGACGAGGAACGCAGCAAAATTGAGACTTGATATCCATCAGTGGAATTCTTAGCTCCCGCAGGATGTTTCTACCGGATTGCGTGGTGGACAGCTCGGCAAATGGCACCCTCTCCTGTGCCTCTGCGATTTCTTCCAGCGTGTTGTGCATGCTGAGACGAAACAGTGTATCCGTGCTTGTGTACATGGGAAGACAGAGAGCGTTCTTGGTAGCCTTTCTGATTAACGTATTGAGCTTATCACGCTCCGACCTTTGCCAGTTGTGCACGACTGCAACGTAGGTGAAATGACACATCACAAAGGAGTGCACCAACATTACGAGGTTATCTTCTGCAAGATCATGTTGACTGTTGGCAACCCTTCTTATTATTCTGATGGCATTGTCAGTTTTTCTGTCAAGACTCGTGACCCTCAGGTTATCGGAGCCGTTCGACTTGACGGCCATACCTAGAACCCACAGGGAGCTCACCCTGGGGATAAGCTGCCCTCACGTGTCTTAAGAGTGATGTCAGTATCCTCCAATGGCTTCCACCCTCTTGGTTTGGGGCTCCTGCGCTTGGGCCTGTACAGAAGCAGTTCCAATTTCTGCGGCAAGCACAGAAGACCGGTCGGTTTAAGGTAGTTTTCTGTGAATTCAATAGCTACCTGTATCACAGCGTCTATTTGTCCATCACTGGCATCGGTACACCATATGGTGATGTCGTGAGCATAGACGGTATGATTAATGCCATCGAGTTTGGAGAGACTTAGAGACAGACTGATCACGACGAGGTTAAAGAGGGTGGGGGATAATACTGAGCCTTGTGGCGTTCCTCTGAAGCCAAGCTTTACTGGATTCAAAACAAGATGGCCCATCGAAGGTATAGCCTCTCTGTCAGCCAGGAATGATTTTATGTAGTCGTGGAAGCGCTTGCCAAGACCAAGGCTTGAGATCTGACTCAGCGCGAACTGGTGCCGAACATTGTCAAATGCCCTCTCCAAGTCCAGTCCCGTTATGGCTCTTATGTCCTATGTGTTCGTATCAATAACTTGAAATTTGATTAGCTTCATGACCTCTTGCGTTGAGAGGCCCGCCCTAAAGCCTATCATGTGTTGGGGATAAATGTCGTGTTCCTCAAGGTATCGGGTAACCCTGTTAAGGATAGCATGTTCAGCCACCTTACCTGCGCATGATGTCAGGGAGATGGGCCAGAGGTTGTCGAGGCTGGAAGGTCTGCCCGGTTTGGGGATGAGGATGGTGGTGGCCATGCTTCACATCTCTGGGACACTGTCACTCTTCCACACCTGGTTGACGACACCGTCAGCTACTCCACCGACCTTTCATCCAGGTTTTTAAAGCCTTGTTGGTGTTCTTACCAGGACTGGGGGATGACCTGCCGTTTAAGTCATGCAATGCCTGATTAATCTCCTCCCTTTAAAATTCTGCGTCCAGTTCTGGGTTAGCACCCGCTCGGTGAATGGAAGCTGGAGGTGGTGGAACGGAAGCGATTGGCAAGTACTTCTGAATCAGTTCTGCCGGTACCTGAGTGTCCGAGGATTCTTGCCTAGCTGCATGAAGTGTGTGAGTCAGCGTGCACATCTGGTTCAATTTAGAGTTGGTGTCATCCAACAGATGCTACAGGAGGTTCCAAGGGGGTGCCCTGCGCATCTTCTCGTCTACCGAATTGCAAATATAGTCCCATTGTTGTTTAGAAAGGACGTTACAGTGTTCCTTAATGCTTCTGTTCACCTCAGCAATCTTCTTGCGAAGCCTGCGATTGAGGCGCAGCCCTTTCCTCCTCACCAGGAGGGACTGTTTGACTTCCAGAAGATGAGCCAGTCTGCTGTCCATCTTTTATACAGGCAGGCACGTGGTGACTTCCTTAGTGGTAGCCAGGATGTCGTCTATTATCTGCGCCGTCCAGTGTTCCAGTTCAAGTTTCCCCTCATCGTCAGATCGTTCCTCCCTTACTTTGTGGAACAAGTCCCAGTCGGTCACCCTGAACTTACGTGGTCTTGTCTGGCCAATTTGTAGAACAGTAGTGAGGAGTTAATGGTCGCTGCCAAAGTCTACGCTGAGGTTTGACCACTTGACCTCCACTACGTTCCGGACGAAGGTGAGGTCTGGTGTCATGTGCCTTAGTGGACGAAGTACCACATCTTGTTGGAAACGCAGGGTCTGTTACGATACTAGGTCCTGGTTCAACGCCTCCCTCCACAGCCCCCCCCCCCTCTTACGAGTGCGCGTACGGATAGCCCCAAGCATGATAGTTTGAAATAACGTCACCCTCTGTAATCAGGGAGAAGCCTCTGGACAACTGTACGGCCTTGCATAAAAGAGCCTACCTATCCGAATACAGCAACCAATACTACGCTTTTCTAAACATAGGTCCTCAGCAAAGATAACTGACTAGCGAGCATTTCGTTATCATATGTCACACAAAGCTGATACTGTTACTGACACTGACAGCTTAGTATCACTCATAGAAAACAAATTAAACCAGTGTTTCAAGTTCAATAAATTCTTGAAGGTTACGCTGGAGTAGACACTGAATATGAATAACTTAGGGCCATTCGCCGCAGAGCTGAAAAAAAATGCAGACGCACGGGTCTACTTGAAGATTACCGTGACTGTCTAAAAACGCATGACCGCATGAGCCGACAACTGGATAGACTAGGCACAAAGCGCTCGCGGGAAATCTGCACTTTGCTAACGCCACTTACACCCGAGTCAAAGTTATGAAGTTTTCTACGCTCTTCAAAGTGGGACAGTAACACATCAACAACCATTTAGGGCCTTACCTTTAGTGAAGAATGTGCCGAAAGCGACCGTTGCGGACGAATTTTGTGAGGATGTTACACGATTAAGTGCAGCCATACACACGCCTGATTACATTAAGTCTGTTGGGGATATTCAAATATTGATTACTTTGTCACTTAATAGATATCATGCTGACCTATGTCATCCGTTTTCATTGGAGGAAATAAATAACGCACTAGCAGCGTGCTGACAAAGAACAGGAGCTGGTTCTGATAGGATAACATATGTGGCATTAAAAACCTGGGCCCTGTGGCCACAAATACTTTTTTGAAGATATTTAATGATGCATGGAAAACAGAGTGCCTTCCGTCCTCCGGAAAAGTTGCAGGAGTGGTCCCGATTTTCAAACCCGGCAAAACACCTGTAACCATAGATTCTTTCCGTCCTATCAGCCTGATTAGCTGTCTTTGTAAACTTATGGAAAAGATGATGAACTCTAGACTTCAGTGGTAAATGGAATGTACGAAAGTGCTTCCAGAAAATATGGCAGGCTTACATAAGCGCTGCTGCAGCATGTATGCCATTCTAGACATGGTAGCTTATGTAGATCATGAGAGGAGCTGTCGCAGAGTCGTCGTTGCAGTATTTCTAGGTATAAAACGAGCATAAGACACAACCAGCTACGCTCATGTACTACACGGTTTATTTCAGTTGGGAATGGCTGGAAGAACACTAAGATGAAATGCAGAATTCCTAAGAGACAGCAAAGTTTTCATTGACACAGCTGACGGCAAAAGTAAAGATCATGAAGTTAGTCAAGAAGGTCAACAGGGTAGCGTACTAAGCCCATTATTATTTATTTGCGTTATGGATGAATTATCTCATATCTTACCTATTAGTTGGAAATACTCTCTATATACAGACAATCTGTGCATTTGGGCGCCAGACACGAGTATTCAAGCGGTTCAGCAAAAACTCTAAGATGGCCTGACAATAATTAATGACTTTTTAAGAGCAGAGGCATGATTATTTCTTCTCATGAGAAAACAGCTGTACTTCCATTCACAAGAAAATGCAAGAAAATAACCCCTAAAAACAAATTTTTAGGGGTTATTTTAAACAGACGTCTGTCTTGGGCTTCACAGATAAAACCATTAGAGGAAAAAGTCAACTCCCTAACCAATATAATACGTCGACTGACGGGAGTGAGATCGGGTAGTTCATGTTCTTCTTTATTGCGTGTACAATCAGCAATCTTTCGACAAAGAATAGCTTACTCTGCCCTGGTTTAACATTAGATATCCCGTAACTTAGAGGAGAAGATCCAAAGACTGTTGGCCAGAAGCCCTCGAATATGTCTTGGTATACCCCGAGCGTCTGCCAGTGCTTTGGTAAATGCGGAGTCTCGTCAACCCACTATCCATGCTATGAGATTTACAAAAACCTATCGCGATTATTTTCGGTTGGCAACTCAACACGCTAATCATGCCCCATACTGAGCTATTCGGGAGAGATCAGCTGCAAGAATGCATAAAATTATGCTATATTGCAAGATTTTACTGACTACGCACCAATACTGGCCTCCATGTGCATCCCACCCACCATAGCGACTCCCTATCCCAGATATTACAACTTCGATCCCGGAATTACCTCTTAAGAATAATATGCCTATAATTGTAATAAAGCAATTAACTTTAACACATCTTTATACCAATTATGAATACTATATTCACAGGTACACCGGCGGATAACGTGTGAATCAATGGTCTACGTTGGCGTTTTTTGTACCTGCATACTAAGCCAAAAAAAAAGCTTTTAAGCTAAACCATCCTCCGCAATGGCAGAGCTTTATGTAATACTCCCTGCTTTACGCTTTATATGTTGACAGTCAAGTCTATTTCGATGGATGTTTATAAGTGACTCATAGTCCTCATTGGTTTCTTTAAAAGGAGTCAGCTTGGCGACAAAGCTAGTAAGCTCGCATAATAAATACGAAAGACGTACGCTGTAGCAAAAGATTTACACCACGCCATAATGTTCGAGTCGGTGCCAAGCCACTGTGAAATCACAAGAAATAACATAGCTGATCACATTGCACGTGAAGCACATTAGGAAAATAATATATCACTGCTACCTCTATTGATGAACGATGCACGATGCCTAATAAATAAGCAGAGCCGTCAACTGTCTATGGGAAAGTTGTTCGAAAATGGTGCGCAAAACTATTAGTTAGACAACATTGATCCTGGTATAGCATATAATATTTCGTTAAAGGTTAGCCGATCGGTAGAAACAGTCATCCATAGGGTTCGACTTGATACAACATACACAAAGGCCTTCCTTTATAGAAGAAGGAAAGCTAGTATTCCTACCTGCTCATGTGGAGAAGCTCAAGAATATGTGGAGCACATTCTTCTACATTGTAAATATTATGACGTACCTCACAAGAACCTTTTACAAAAACTAAATTCTTTAGTTAAGCGACCTTTATAAATTGCAAAAATCTTGGGTTCGTGGCTAAAATAAAAGCTACAAGCTACTGCAGCGCGTGTAGTCGTTCACTTTCTGGAGGAATCAGAAATAGCTCAAAACTACTCAACGACAAAAAAGTATTATCGCCACTGTTAGCCGATTTGTTTCAAAACAATATTTTCGGGTTTCACTACGATATTTTTGGGAAAACCTTTTTGAATACAGCTGAGTACTTAAGCGACAAGATCACCTTAGACATTTTATTGAACCTTCATGTTTTGTGTGATCACTTAAGTTGGCGTGATTACTTCTATTTTTACAAACTCTGTGTAGTGTGGACACATTTCTATGTAGTATGAGCACTCAGTATTGAAAAGCGTGGACTCATTGCGTAAGCGTTGCGCTATGTAATTGTGTATAGCCTTGTGTTTGCTACAAAATATGCGATGTCAACTTTTGTGTAAGAGAAGAGGAATAGCCGACGCAACGCATTGGCACCAACCTCTTCTTATTTACATTTATTAAAAAAAAGGCGTCTCTAGATATGGTGCAGCCATTCTTGCACTCCCAATCTTACTTGAGTTTTCTTACAAATAAGTGCTTACACCTAGCTCACGCTCTTCAACGCCAGCAATCTTCAAACGCCAGCATCACATCACTGCGCCAACGTAGCACGCACTTTAAAAAATAAAGGTTGATCTCTCCGTCATAAGTATCGGTATAGCAACAACAGTGAACCATTTCCTGACATCAGCAGTTAATTTTTTATAGCACAATTATTTTCGGGTGCTTCTAGAATGTGTAGTGCTGTTTTACTAATAATAATGATAGCGTCTACGGTTTAATATCTTAATAACAGGATATTATATGGAGAGATGCTGTAGTGGAGGGCTCCGTAAATTTCTAGCACCTGAAGTTCCTTAACGTGCACCTAAATTCACGTACATGGGCTTCAAGCATTCTCGCCTCAATTGGAAATGCACCCGCTGTGGAAAGATTCTATCCCGCGATCTTCAGGTTAGCAGTCGAGTGCCAA